TACTAATTCTTTTGGCCTTCTAAAGTAAAGCTGATATTGTCCGCCTTATAACTATATGTTCTAGGCTTAATTTGGGGATCTCAAAATATCCGTGGTCTGTCAAGTTCAAATCCCCAACTTATAAAAGAGAACCATATATGAATAATGAATGTAGCATCTAAAGAATGGCATTACACCCTAGTCATTTCCATAATAGTGAAGTTAATGCTGCCAAATTGTCTCATCAGGTGGATTCTCTTGTTTTAAAATGGGGTCAAGCTTAACAATCTGGTAAGATAAAATGGTATCTGGGAAAGAAAATATTACCTATTACCTATTACCTATTACCTATATATACACACACACACATAAAGCTTCAAAAGTAGGATATGCTAGGCCGTTCCAACCACAGCTCAATTGTGTTTTTTTATTTCTTGCTTTTTTTATGGTTATCCTCATTCCGAAAAGGTTTATTACTTTCAGTGGTTGTTTGATAACCATTTCATTTTTAGTTTTCAATTTTCATCTTCACTTTTTCGAAAACTGAAAACTGAACACATATTTGGTAACATATTTTGTTTTCAGTTTTCAAAATCACCCTTATTTTTTAAAACAACTTGAAAGTGTTTTCAGTATTCTTTTTTTCTTTTTTCTTTTTTCTTTTTTTGCGCTCCATTTTCATTCATTAATTTTACATCACCGCGCATGAAATGCACTCGAGTTACCAAAACTTGGAATTTGGGACCTCCCGACATAGACTCGGCCACTCAATTCTTGCGTTCAGCCACAGACCCAATCCAAGCCTCATGACCTCAAGATCCAACATTCACCAAAAATCATCCTAATTCAGAAAAATTCACCCAAAAATAGTATGAACTCTTTGTGATATGCACTTTCATTCTATAATCTCAAATTCACAATTTGACTCCGAAAAATTCCATTTTCAAGTTCCACATAAAACTGAAAACTAAAAAAAGTTACCAAACAACTTTTGTTCACTTTTCACTTTTTTCACAACTAAAACTAGTTACCAAACAAGTATTCTATTTTCTATTTTAAAAAAATTAAAACGGGCCGCTTTTTTAGGGTTTTTTATTTTGAATGACACATTCGATGAAAGTTTAAAACTTTTCCAACATTTGTTCAAATATGCTTTCTAAGTTCATATGACCTAATGCTAAAGAAAGATTACATACTTTGTATCATCAGCAAACTTATTTAAAGCACATCGAACAGTTCAAACTAAAATGGATATTAGAATCTAAATCATAATTAAAGTTTATTCCCTCACCTAAATCGCAAACAAATTCAAAGCTAGGGCCATACCACCATCCAATCCAAACCATAACAAAGCTTTCACATACCGAAACTTGCACCCACATAACCCACAGTGATTAATAAGAATTGTATAGCAAGACCCACCGACTTCTAAATTTAAATATAAGATGCACAGTACAAGAATTTACCCAAAGCAAGCTCAAATAATTCTTCCCGCGTTATTCTAACTCAACCAAAAACATGAATATAAAACCCAAGCTTCATACAGGGGCAGAGGCGGCTCTGAGATTTTATGGATCTTATACAAAATTAGTAATCGGACCTCCTAAAATAAAGTCTTAAACAAAAATATATATTAGGACTGGACCATATATATTAATAGCAAATTTAAAACTACTCATCAATTTAAATATTATAAAGGATATCAAACAAATAATTCAACAAGGAACAAAAAATAATATAAAAAACCATGGTTCATCAAAGTATTAATAAAAATTAGCACAAAAAAATAAATAAACATATTCCCACTGGATTTAGTACTTACCAAGAGCTCCTATTATATGTAATTTTAATGTATTAATATATTATGTGAGATCAACTTAAAAGAAGCAATGGAAATAATTTCTTTTTGGAAGTGGATATATCATATATTAAATATATGACATATAATAATAAAATAATATATATGGTGAAAAAATAAAAAAATTGGGGGGCCATGTGCAAGGGCCCACCTTGCACACTCCAAGGCCTCCTCTTAAAAAGCCAAATTAATCTTTTTAGGATTCATGTGAAGCTCCAAAAGTAGAAAATGCATTTAAAACAATTTAATCAACATAAAATTTAAAAAATTATTATTATAAAAATAAAATTTAAATATAAAATTTAAAAATTAAAAATTAAAACAAGAACACACCATTACTATAAAGCGTGACATTTTATAAATAAGCTTTTTACAAATAACTTCATTCTAACAAGACATTTTATAGAAGATTCTCAATAAGATGAAGAGTTGGAAGCAGAAGCTGTTAACTCAAGTGAGGAGAGAAGTTTTTATTAAGGCTATATCCCAGGCCATTCCCACATATCCAATGACAATGTTAAATTCCCTGGGGATTTTGTAAAGAGCTTGATGGGTTAATGGCAAAGTTCTGGCAGGGAGGAAGTGAAAAAAAAAAGGGGCAATTGGATAAGTTGGGGGGAGTTGGGGGGGAGTTGGGGCTGTCAAAAATAGAAGGTGGTTTGGGCTTCCATAACCTGCAAGATTTCAACTTGGCAAACCTTGCAAAACAGAGTTGGAGACTCTTGACTGAGTTGGACACTTTCTGGGCAAAAATGCTGAAGAGCATATACTTCCCTTCATGTAATTTCTTCAAGTTGGCAAAGGGGCACGTGCCTCTTGGGCATGGACTAGCAGCATTGAGGGCAGAGAGGTGATTGTTAATGGCTCACGTTGGCAAGTTTTGGATGGAAACGAGATTAGAATTTGGGTAGATAAATGGATCCCTCTCTCCTTTAATGGGAGGCTGCATCCTACTAATGATGTGCTTGTGAATGAGACAACCCTAGTGTAGGCGATAATTAATCCATCCACAAAAGATTGGGATTTATTAGAACTTTCTTGAATCATACTTGCGAGGGAAGCAATGGTGATTAAAGCTTTGCCTCTTGGAGATGGTAGGGCAATGGATAGAATTATTTGCCTAGCAAACAAGAATGGGCTTTATACTGTTAAATTAGAATATAACCAGATCCATTCACATGACAGGTCCCACCCGAATTTTCCCTTGGAATCCGTGAAGAAACCCTGTTGCATGTTCGACATCTAGGCAATGGATAGAATTATTTGGCTAGCAAACAAGAATGGGCTTTATACTGTTAAATCATAATATAACTAGATCCATTCACATGACAGGACTGGTCTTCGATGACAAGACCCACCCGAATTTTCCCTTGGAATCAGTGAAGAAACCTTATTGCTTGTCCAACATCTGGGCGATGTCGGACCCACTTTACTAAAAAGCCCTTTAGCCTAATTTATACTGATAGATAATTCGACTTCTACCGAAATTTCGATAGAGTCTCCCTTGTAATTGGAACATTTCCCAATTTATAGTACCTGCAAACTAGCACCAGAATAATCCCAACTTTCAGCACACAAAAGATAAGGCACACACGACAGTTAAGACTATTCAAATGGGCATCAGGCCCCCTACCCAAACTTAAACAAGCTAGCAAAGTGACTAAGGAATTAAATTTACAACTTGGGAAAAAGGAAAGTAGAGAATGATAAAGGAAAGTTCCTATGATGCGAGCTTACAGAGCGAACAACGATGATGCCTCAACGTTGTGGTCTCGACCTTAGATATCTGGGGGCACAAAACATAAAATGTGAGTGGACGAAAACAAGGCTTTAAACATAATTTATACTCCACATAAATTACCACCTCATGTTTAGAAAATAATGCCAAAACACCATGAAATAGATTTCTTCGGTAAACGTACATATGTATATCATTCAAAACTTGAAATACCTCAATTCAAGACTCGTATCATAACATACTATAATTAAAACCATATATTAAAATTTCTTGGAGAACGTTGTAAAACAATAAACTGAAAACCTTCAAAGTAAAACCCATTTACTCAAGCCATTTCAAACTCATAAACTTTATCAAAAATAATTTCTCAACCTTAATCCTTTTCATACATAATTAAGCAAAATCCTTTTTTTTCCCGCAACCATACCCTACTGAAGTCGTATGTTGCAAAGCACCATAAGTCAATTGTCAAATCCAAACTTCATGTCAAATATTTATATTTGTGCAAAGTACCATCAATGCACATGCTCAAGAAACCTCAACTTGGAAATAAATCCACACATACTCCCACACACACACCCAAAATCAACACATCATCATCATGTCGCCATCTCCCTCGCCCGCCTTCGCTTCTCCATCGTCGGCCTCTGAAACCTCGACCTCATAAGAACCACGTCAACTACACCGTTGTCGATGTCCTCAACGGAAATTGCAGGCTCGACCAGGCTCTTGTCGAAGACAAGTGCTGGTCCAACTTCGAGCTGCTCTACATCTTCAAGCCCAGGTCCAAATAGGGCAAAGCCTTGGTTAAGGGATAGCTGCTCTGCAGGGTTTTTTTTCCCTAAAAAATTTAATTAAAATATATTTTATTTTATTTAAAGCCACATGGCTCTATACCATTGAATGTGTGAGCTCCACACATGTACCATGTTAGCAATTTAACAGAAAATTTGACGGAAACTAACGGTAAGGACCATTTTGATGTATGGATGGTAACCTTAAAGCATCTAAAATCATGCTCCCTTATTTTTATTTAAAATTTAGCTAAAAACACACAAAAGTTATTTTAGGAACTCTCTATAAAATTTGAACTCCAATCATACTCCTTAGTTTATAGGGTCATAAATACTATAATTATTTTTTAACTCAATATGATTGGTCCATCTCTATTTATAAAAAAGATAGCTAGCATTAATTAAAAGTTTAAACCATACATAAAATAAAGCAGCATTAAATTATGGGAAGCCACTAAGAGTCCTTTCTCTCTCCTCAGATTTAGAAGTTCCTAGAAGTCTGCCTATTTTAGGAGGTGGATAAGAGTATGATTGGGTTTGTATTTTCCAATTCCTCCCTAAAATTTGTCTAATGAGGTGATTTAAAGAGCCCATTGTGAATGCACTTAAGGGTCATTGGTGTCACAAAAAATAAATACAAATTCACAAGTCCATACGCATTCAAGTCTGACAAAATGGTTCATATATTACATATTACATATTACAAACTACACAACCACACATTTCGACCTTGGAAACGAGTGGATCTCAAAATTCACATAGCAATTTAACAAAGTATGGCAACAAATCAATCAGCAAACCATATACTTCCACAGATATGCATCTTCACACGTAAAAATTAAAATAATTATATTAACATCTACCTTCGACATCTTTTTATTGATAGTCCTGCCCTCGGATGGGTTTTGATATTTTTTTCTTTTTTCTTTTTAAATTGCTTAGCTGATGAGAGAAGAAGATGGATCTGATAGAGCAGGCAACCCAAGGCCCAATAGAGCTCAAGAAGATGCAGTAACAGCAGCCTTGGTTGGGTTAAATGCAACCTGCTCGGCACAAGTTAGCACTTCATGGGTCCCTGCCTCCTCTCGTCCGACACCCATAAGGTCAAGGTAGTACTGGTAATGGGAAACAATGTTGTTCATGGCATCAATGTCGCCCTGCCCACAAACTTGATCGCCATAAAGAATATTCATTGTAGCGCCAAATCCAGGAAACCTCTTGCTCAAAGTATCATTCTTGGTGGGCTTCCAATTGCCAACAAATGCATCGTGCGCTGAGGGTTGTGACTTCTTGATAGCGGTCATCCACCTCCATATTGCAGCCTGGAAAGCAAGAGTAGCATTCTGCTCAATGTATTCAGGATGGTTCAACAGATCAGCCTTCAAAGCTTCTCCAGCTGCACCATAATTGTAGTTCCTGGATGGCAGCACCAATAGAAACTTACAAACATTGTCTATTCAACGAGCTCATCATAAACTAACATATCATCTACAACTCTCGTATGACACTAAATTTGAGGAAAAGAGAAAAGTGACAATAGCTAGACCATGCAACAAACTGACATGTAAATTGAAGACAATATGCCGGACCTACAAAACAACTCTACCATTTACTTCTGAGTATATCAATGAATAATCTCATTTTATGACAGCTCTATTCCTCCACAAGGCAACTGATATCCTCTGGTTAAGTTATTAGGTAAAAGAGAGTTTGGAAAAATAATAAAAGGAAATTCACATAAACAAATTATGGGGGTGGATTAATTATGAAATAAAAACAAAAGGAATACAAACCAGTAGATCGGCAAAGCACCACGACCATAGTATTCAGCTCCAGGAGTGCAGGGATATGTGTATTTGTAATAGTCATCGCAGTATGACTGCATGGGACTCATTTCCCTGTTGTAGCAAAGTCCCCAGGCCAATGGTCCTCCTGTGGCCACACCATAACCACCTGGAAAAATCATTGCTCTCGCCGTCATCAACCATAAGAACAATGGTGTGCATATGTGAATTTCAGCAAAAGCTTATTCTAGCTTATCCAATCTAGAGTTGTATTAAGCCTGTTCTACTTTGTATCCACAATAATATCAAGTTTTAACAACATGTATTTGTAATCAATCATTTGTTTCCCATAGTTTTAATATTTACTATCATTGTAATTCTCATTCTTTATTTGATTGATCAATTATTCAGCTGATCTACCTAAACATATGAAAAAAGTAAAAGATAAAAATTTCTAACCCTTTTAGTTCTTCACATCCCTGTTTCTATGTTCTAAGTAAAATTCAATCTGATGTTTTCTCAAAACCCACATTGTTCATAAACCCAATTACCTCAAACTTAACAAATCACAATCAAATCCAATCAAACCTCACCCACAAAAACACAACCCATAATTCAATTCAACATTTGATTCAACCATTTTAAGCATCCAACAAAAGCATCACAAATAACAACAGCTGCCAACTATAACAGTTCTATCCTAAACCATCTACATATATATACACACATCTATATACTACATATCCATGAAGATAGGACTTGACAGTTGCTGAAAACACAAACTTTTCATAAACCCAATTCACTCAAACTTAACAAATCCCAATCAAATCACCCCAGCCCATTCTATTCAAAATTTGATTCAACCATTTTAAGCATCCAACAAAAGCATCACAAATAACAACAGCTGCCAACTATAACAGTTCTATCCTAAACCATCTACATATATATACACACATCTATATACTACATATCCATGAAGATAGGACTTGACAGTTGCTGAAAACACAAACTTTTCATAAACCCAATTCACTCAAACTTAACAAATCCCAATCAAATCACCCCAGCCCATTCTATTCAAAATTTGATTCAACCATTTTAAGCATCCAACAAAAGCATCACAAATAACAACAGCTGCCAACTATAACAGTTCTATCCTAAACCATCTACATATATATACACACATCTATATACTACATATCCATGAAGATAGGACTTGACAGTTGCTGAAAACACAAACTTTTCATAAACCCAATTCACTCAAACTTAACAAATCCCAATCAAATCACCCCAGCCCATTCTATTCAAAATTTGATTCAACCATTTTAAGCATCCAACAAAAACATAACAAATTAAAGACAATTACCCACCATAACAATTCGATACAAAAATCTTGACACACCGCAGAACTTAACAGAAGTGGTGACTTACAAGAGGTTTTGCTGCCAACATGTCCAAGAAAGGCGGCGATCTCCTTCATCTGCATACGCTTAAACTCATAATATCTACATAAAAAAATACATAAACACACTAAAAGATTAGTTAGATGTACATATTATATAATACATTAATAAATCACATAAAATTACAAAGACATACCTAATTCAATCGATTCATAGAACTCCATCTCTTGAATTATTAGCTTATATTGTAAAGAGGATATGTCATCCAACCTTAACCAATTTTGAGAGCAAATTAAGGCCTCTAGAATCTTAGGAGTCAAAGAAGCACGAAATGAATTAACTACCCAACCACCCGTGCTAAAGCATGATTCCGAAGCCACCGTTGATACCAGGATGGCAAGCATATCCTTTGCAATAAGTGTCAACCCCGGATACTTAACCCCATTCAATTTTCACCACTTCAAAACATCAAATTCGTCAACCACATCTTCAATAGGGTCGGTGATGTACCTATCAATCTCATGCTCTAATATCACAACATCATTTGCTCGAGTCTCTTTTCTCCAACTTTCAGTCATTTGCCTCCGTTTCTTTCCCCCTCGGCTTAAGATACTACTTGTATGCATGGTAGTAGTATCACTAAAATAATAACTATTACTTTCAGTGGATGGTGGTGGTGGTGGCATGGCATACTCCTCATAAAGCTTCTTTAAAATCTCTTTGATCTCATTCTTCTTCTTAACCGCATCTTCCGGATTTTCAAACCGACTCTTCAAGATAAACTCCAAGTTCCCCAATTTGTATCGAGGGTCAAGAACAAGAGCAACCATCAAAATTTGGTTCAATTTATCAAGGTCACCCCAATACTTTTTAAATTTCATCTTCATGTTAAGCGTCATGTCCTTCAAAACCTTGGAGGTTTGGGTTTCACTTAATATTTTCTCCTCTTCCATCAATAAATCCTCAATTTCTTCTTCCATTGCAATCAAGTCGTGAAATGTGGTACCAATCTACAAGCAAATGCTACCCGTTGCCCTTTTATTGACTTCATTGAATTTAGGGAAGTGAAGGCATGTTTATTAATCCGTAATTGGATTATGAGGAAATTGAATTGAGGAGAATTAGATTCTGGATTTCTAATGAAGTTGTTTACTAAACCATATGGATTGAGGGGAGTTAGGTTCTGGATTCCTATTGAAGTTGTTTATTAAACCATATGGAATTGGGGTATGAGTGGTATTAATTACTAAAATGTCCTCATTGTTGGGTTAAAGTAGATGACATATTTGGAATTTTGAAAATTGTGTGAGGATATAATGAGGAAAAAAGATAAATTCCCAATGGATTAATTCTCCAAGAATTAGAATACCACCTCCCACCCAAAATTGAATTCCTCTAAAATCAGGAATTCAATTCCTAATTTTGTGTGGGCCCCACTTACTTTTCAATGCATTGATGTGAAGTAAAGGCAGGAATCCTCTATAGGTAGAATTCAATTCCTAATGAGAATTCCAATTTCTGATTAGTAAACACACCATAAGAGCATTCACAATGATTGACTTCATCGAATTTAGGGGAAGTGAAAGTGAATAAGAGCATCCGCAATTGTTGTTCAATAGTTTAATGCAATTTGAACTATTTTGGTATCTATTGAATTGAACTGCAGTTTTACTTGCAATGATACAATTCAATCATTTCAATTTATCGGCATGTGGGTCCCATAATTAGCCTTTTGCAATTTAATAGAAGCTTCATCATCATGGCCGAACCTGGCCCAGGGCAACTAGGGCCACAACCCGAGGCCCATAACATAAGGGGCACAAATTTTTTTTATAGCCTATATCTATATATAAAGCAAAAGACAGAGAATGATAAAACATTCAAAATACCAAAAAATGCCCTTGGTTAATGCAAACATTAAGAATTTAAATTATTAATTAAATGAGAATAATATGGTAAATTCACACTTTTTCATATTAAAAAAAATTAAAATTAAAAGAAAAATTAGATAATGGATCCTTAAATAAATTTTTAATTTTTAATTCTAAAATAAATTTTTAATTTTTAAAATAATAAAAAAATAAAATAAAAAAAGCCTCTCACATGCGCGAAAGCGCGTGCAGAAAGGCTTGTATATAAATATATCTGCAAAAGAAACTAAATAGACGCACAACGTTAATCTCATGCGTTGGAAACCAAAACCAATTCTCCTCCTTTCCAATAAAAAGTCAAGTGAACAAGAATTGAAGTATTGATAACCCGTTGGGCAAAATCGAAGTAATTTTTGGTCGTAAAAATCAAAGTGATTGATTCATCAATATGTGGGTTTCAACCAGAATCAAAGCCAAAGTAAAAAATACTTTTAAGGAACTGGTATTTCCTCCGATGTTTTGGCCATCTTGAAGAGAAGACAGTTGAATGAAGGGTTGGAGTACTTGGAATTTTGCAATTTGAATTTTGAAGAGGTATCAAAACTTTTGTTGTTTGTTTTTTTCTCTTTCTTTTTCGTTTGGGTTGGTTGAGAGCGTTCTTTTGTTTTTGGCTCAGCAATTTTACTCACTATCTTTTCGTTGATAGTTTTCTTAACTTTTTTATATTTTAAGTTGCTTTGAATGTTTTTATTTTTATTTTTATTTTATATGAAATGTTTAGTTTAGTTTTATGTGATTATATTTTAAGGGGGAAAAATGCTCAAAATCCAAGTGTTATTAGTGAAATTATTACAGCAGAATCTTTCATGCTTGAGTGTGATCGATCATATTTGTAGTTTCTTTGCTATTGCCTCTATCTTCCTGTGCAAAAAAGCTTTCTTGTAACAAAAAAAAAACTTTCTTGTAAGTGTTTCTCCTTGTTGTGGTGATTGTTGAGATTTTTATTGTTATTAGTTGCGTTTATTATAAAATTTAAAACTTGGAAACCTTAGAGAAAAAAGAAGACATTGCTCATAGTCTCAAAAATTCTTTGGATAAATATTTTCTTAAAAAACCAATGATTAGTTTATAAAATAAAATATAAAAAAACTACAGTTTTAGTGAGATGTATATTGGCACACTTTAGACTTTTGCTTTGGGCCTCATCACATAGCACCCTCCATTGCAATTGCATCCATTGCATCTATTGCAATGAACTAAATCACACCATGACAAGTGAGATTTTCCTGTTTTAGTTCAATTTCATGCAATAAAATTGTATTGATCTTAACCATTGCAAATACTCTAAAATGATTCACTTATGCACTCAAACCAAATTTTGGGATAGTTTTCTTTTCAAATATCCATTGAAAAAAGGAAACTGGAGAAAAGACATTAGGAATTGAAGAGGCCCAATAAATTAAGACCAAGAAGAACTGAGTTTTTTTATATAAGTGATATTGGGAGAAAAATGAATCAAAGCTAGGAATTCGGGTGTATGGGTGCTCTTAACTACTTTCTACAAGTGCCTTGCAAAAATGAAATATTGCGTCTTTGAGAAGACTTTGAAACTTTAACCTCAAAGGAGAGGAAACCTCAACCACAACCACTACTAATCTTGTTTGTGTATGTTAGAAAATGCATATAGATATAATCAACAATTATTGAGCTTCAACAAAGTAAAAGGCACATTTAAGAGATTATATATATTTTTTAATATAAGCGATAGTCTAAACTAAAAAGGGAGGGGGTTTCTCACACACACTACCAATGCATCATGAGGATTCGGACCTGCAGTCAAGACCCTTTTCTACTAGACTAGACTCCGTTAGCTTAAGTGACAATATTTAAGAGAACAATTCCAGCAACCAAAAGGTTTAAAGGCCAAAATCCAACAAAACCTAAAATGAGAGCAAAGGATCACTGCCACCCCTACCACAAAGCAAAGATGAGCATCAACTAAAAGCAGCTGCAAGCTTACAACAAGGGCCAAGCCGTAAGAAAAGAACATTTTTTTAGCCACAGGTTCGATCACTTGATTGATGAAGGGCCTTTGTTTTCTTTATTCATTTAACATTAATATATGAGCATCTCTTAACCAACTAAATAACAATGAACATATCGGATTCACATAAAATTAAATGCATCCATTCAAAGTAGATAGAAAGCACGATCGAGGAATTTTTATCTGAGCTGGTTTATAAATGATCTCTCAGAACATGAATGTCGATAAACCTTGCCATAAATAGTAGGTGGCAGGTACACATGTCATATTTTCACACCGAAAAGATAATATTGGAACTCATCAGATAATGTCGTACAAATTATATATTTTTAATTAGTTTGGCAAATTACAAAAACAAACAAGATTGACAGCCGGTAGGCCAACTGCCAAGAAAAAAAAGTCATAACCCTTTCTTGTCAAGAAAGTAAATATATATATGTATATGTAGTTACTTTTTATTGAAGGATTCTTTAAATAATTTTATTTGAGAGACACCTTTCGGGGTTCTCTACAAATATTTTTTCAATGATTCAAATCAACTGTTTTTTAAGTCTACATTCATAGATCATTTTTGCAAAAAATTAGACAAATCGGAAACCGTTTTGACATCCAATTGTGTTCTATAAAATCAATGAAATCTATTGACCAAGCGAAGAAGAAAAGAATAAAAATAAGAGCAAGTAGATTAAAAATATAAAACCAAATGATATCCAGACAAAAGATTGCGTTGGACTACTTGAAGACTTATCTCCATCACAGATGTTGATCCCGTGACTCTACAGCATGGCCAATTTCTCGGTTCACGGGCTGCATGCATGGCCCCATTCCTTCCCTATCCCTCCCACCAATGCTCTTTTTATTGTCAATAAATAAATAAAAACCCACCAATATAATCCTTTGGTTTCCCTATAAAACCCACCAACTAGGAGCTCCTAAAATCCACACACACACGCCAAAGAAGTAAAAGAGAATCAGTATTTGATCATGAAGGGTTTTCATCAAAAGCTCCTAGTTGTTGTGGCTTTGGTTTTGGTTGCACTTGCAAGCAATGGTGGTTTTGTTCAGGTTTGTGATGCTCAGAACATATGCAATGTCTCTATGAATGGTTTGATGACTTGCAGGCCAGCTGTGACCGCCCCGAACCCGGCGCCGCCTACAACCGCCTGCTGCTCGGCGCTGTCGCATGCCGACATGGGCTGCCTTTGCTCCTACAAGAACTCCAACCTCTTGCCTTCTCTAGGGATTGACCCTAACCTTGCCCTCCAGCTTCCTGCCAAGTGCAGGCTTCCTCATCCTGCCAATTGCTAGACAGTGTGGTTTAATAAACAACGTGATAACGTGATTAAGATGTGATTAATCATGTAATCACATTGGATAATGATGTTTGCTATATAATTAAGCGTTTTGAGTTGAATAACTGTGTTTCACTGTCGTTGTACGTAGCTTATGGTTTCTTGCAATTTGCTACGATGTTGTTGGATATATGGAATATGTAATACAATAGCACTATAATATAAACCTTGGTTTTCACTATATAAGTAGTTGCCTGGAATTTCTCTCTTATAAAGGAGTGCAAGTTCTTTTTTTTTCGATGTCAATGATAGCGATAATTAGATTGCAGTCCATTTTTTGTACTAGTTTTCAATTTGGAGCCGTCGTATAATTTTTTGGTTCACTACTAAGAGGTTCATTAACTAGGTGTGCAACTCATAATTTTTTTCCTCAAATGGATCCATGAGATTAGCATATCAACATTTTTCAGTTGGTTGGGCTCTTCCACTTCCACTCATGTAGGCGGAGATTAGAAACCCCGAAGCAC